CCGGGCTTGCCTCCTTTGTGGTTCCCCGTGGCTCCTACCTCTGAGGGCATCATCAGAAGTTGCAGGGCAGCCAAGATAATTACAGCCTCAAGTTGCACCAGGGCAGGTTTAGGCTGGACATTAGAAAAATTTTTTTCACTGAAAGGGTTGTCAAGCACTGGAAGGGGCTGCCCAGGGAAGGGGTCGAGGCCCCATCCCTGGGGGGATTTAAAAGCCGGGCAGACTTAGGGCCAGGGCCAGGGTTTAGTGGTGGGATGGCAGGGTTAGGGTAATGGTTGGGCTTGATGATCTTAAAGGGCTTTTCCAACCTGAATGATTCTATGATAGAAGACATGGGGATGAAGCAGAAAGCTGGATGAGACATGAGGCTGTAGCCATCCAATACAGGGTCCAAAGGGAGAAGGAAGAAAAGCCTAATTTAAAAAAAAAAAAAAAAACCAAAAAACAAACACCAACACACAACCCCCAAAAAACAGGGATTGTTACATGTGCCTGGGCTAAGAAGAAAGGCCAGACCTGCTGGGTCATCTTCCCCTCACCGCCTTCAAATCTCAGCCTCCCTGGAAAGGCAGCCAGCAGAATTGGCTTTCACAGGCACTCAAAGTCAACCCATGACTGTTTTTTGTGGAGAAGGCTTGTGCATGCAGGAACAAGGACAGTTCTGGGTCCAAGGGTGCACAGGAAAGGGAGTAGTAGAGATTTAAAACCCCCCCTCCAGGTCCTGTTTCCCACAAAAGTGGGGTTTGCAACACCAGGAATGAACTATGGGAACTCAGGAACTGTTTCTGCCTGGGGGACTACCAAGAAGGAAATGCGAGCTCTAATTAAAGCTGGTTGAGATAATTGCCACCCCATTCTTTTTCACTTTGGCAAACTAAGCTTTTGGGAGTTGAAGGGTTCAGTTATGGGTTGAGAAATAGACGGAAGAGATTACACAGAACAGCTTTGAAAAAAAAACCCAAAACAACACAAAATAAACAACCAAAGAGCTCATCCTTGTATACGTGACCCATGGGAAGGGCTTAGAGACTTCCTCATCTGACCCAGCTTGGCAGATAAATCATCTGCCCTGTTTTACAAGAGATGAGGTGGTCTGGATGCAATCCACCAAGCCAGACATGGCATTTTTGGTATTTTTTTTTTTTTTTCTGAAAGGCATCAGCTATCTGCTTCACCTTCCCTCCAGCAATACAGGACAGCCCCAGGGAACCAATGGGTTCCTTGCATCATGCTCTTCTCAGGCTCATGGCAGCAGAAGGAACTCATGAGCCCTCCTACAGCTGTGAAAGCAGTTATTCAATGGTTTGACTCAGAAATAAGCCTACCACTCATAACTGCATCTTAATCCAGACTTGGATTAAGAATATTATCTATTGGAATTCCTCATGCCCCAGCTTGCAGCAGCTCAGGATTAAGGTCTAGAGAAGCCACTCTCAGAGCTTGGGACAGGCTCAGCTGAGCTGAGCTCTTCCTGATTCTTTGTTTTCTTTTGAATAACACATGCTCAGCTGACCAAAAAATTTACTACTATAGCTAAAAAGAAGCTGAAGGAAGAACCAGCCTATGGGTCTCATTCCCTGTGGGACACCCGCCACGGGCAGCCATCCCTCCTCCATGGCTGCAGGGAGCAAGTCCCAGTTCTCCTTCACAGGGCACAAACCCGATGTCCTGGAGTATTATCCTTGCCTTGGAAGCCCTTCCTCTGACCCTCGTTAGATCATCCTTCATTTTATCACAGGGATCTAATTTCTCATAGGTTAATCATGTGCTTTCCTTTGCAGCCACTCTCCCTTGGCAGCAGCGGCTCCGCATTTACAAACACATGGCGAAGGCCGATGTCTGTCCAATTTGAGCTTATTTTACAGCAGGCTGAACTTGGCTGACTGTTGATGGACACAGACTACAACTGTGTAAACTCAGGGAGCTCCTTAAGCACATGTTTTATTTATGCCAAACCACAGACATTATCTTCTCTCTTGCTAAACCCTGTTGGAAAAGGAAATGCCTCCCTTCCTTGTTTTAGGATATAGAGCCTGAAGCACAGCAGTGATAGGCTCAACTTAAACGCTGTTCTACCCCTTTCCTCTCATACCAACAAAAGCATTCCCTTGAAAGTTTCTGTTCTATTTCCCCCCTACCCCCCTTTTTTTATATATTTTTGCAACCTCAGACCTCAAGGGAAGAAGGGAGAGGAGGAAAACCCCTCTGGAAACCCTTCACATTTTTCTTCCTCGCATCCCCCCAGGGGTTTCCCACCTCTCACATGTCTGCCAGGCTAGAGCTGTTTGTTTTCCCCTTACTCTGATCACTCACCAGGGAGCAGATGCAGAGCACAAGCAGCCATTCAACAACAAATACTCCTGCCCCAGGAGTTTTCATCACACCCACTTCCCTCTCTGCTCCCATTAAGATGAGTCAGCCAAAAGCCTATCTGAACCACCTACGGGTGAGCCAAGGCCCTGTCATTGAGCTTTGATGGCTGCCTTTCCTCAGATCGCCCACCAGCACCCCTTCGCCACCCCACACGGCCCTGGCAAGCAGGGGAGCAGTGCTGCCAACCCCAACCGCTATGGAAAGTGGCTCTGGGAAACAGGAGGCTGATGCACTTTTTTTTCCATCAGTGAGGATCAATAATCCGTTGGCCGTGCGTCAAGAGCTTGACTCATCCCCAGGAGAAAGCACGACGTGGGAAGGTTTCTGATGAGCACGGCTTGGTCCAAGGGCTTTAGTGCCTGCAAAAGGTATCAATGTGCAGGCTTTATGTTCCCATCTCTCCAGGATGCTGATGCAGAAGGAGCAGGCAGAGAGAGCCCCATCAGAGCCTGCAGATGCTCAAAAAACTTCCTATGCAGAGAGAAGCATTGCTTGTACACCTCCCCAAACTACAGATTGAGATGATCCTACCTCCTTCAGCCACAAGTTCCTACCACATCCCTCCAAGCCTCAGCAGGCACCAGCCACCAGTTCAGTGGAAGGTGAAGTTCAGAGAAGCTCATGAAGTTCAGCAAAGTCCCAGATGTGGGGCTGAATGACCCCATGCTGTTGCCTTCAGCCATTTAATGGGGGGTGGCTATAGAGAGACCAGAGACAGACTCTCCTGGGAGGTGCAGAGAGAAAGGAGCAGGAGGTTGGACTCAAGCCCTCCAGAGGCCCTCCCAACCTTAGCATTTCTGGGAAGAGGCTGGGCACAGGCAAGGGATGCTAAAGCAAGATAAGAGGAACTTCTCACTACCTCTTACCACCCAGAGGTTTATCTTATCAAACCACCACAGTATCAGTGCTCTCCTTGTGTCATCACACAGTGCAGGACATCTCCAGCCTGCAGGCAGGGAGACAAGCTCTCCAGCACCCAGAAGCTGTTTTTTTTAAGCGTCATCATGTAACTAGAGCAGCCCTAAGCCCATCCCAGCATCAGCATGAACAGCCAGCTTTTTTTCTTGCTAAATTTGCCTTTGGGTCTCCTCCCAACCAATATGAACAGCAGGCTTTTATGAAAAGCACATTAGTAACCCAAGAAGTTACAGGGGAAGGTACCACTTCTGGTTTTGCCTGAAACCAGATCTACCCTTTTTGCAATTTGTTGGGGTTTTTGGGGGGTGGGTGTTTTTTTTTTTTTTTTTTAAATTTAAAAAAAGGAAGAATTTCAAAAGG